ACAAAACAAAGTTTCACATAACTTAGATTATGAAAAACAATACTTACTGTACTATCTCCTTCTTCTTTTGTAACGTCGTTGGATTGGTTTCTGTGGTATTTTCATCTTTTAATTTTAAAATGCACTCTATAAAAGAAATACAGGCAATATATTATTATATCTTGAAAAAAATGTTAATTTATTAAATGATATTATAATATTACTATTTACCTATAGTATTAATAGTAACAACTATTGGTTCAGACGTAATTTTTACCCAAGGAACATGTATTAACAATTCGTGTATATGGCCACTAACAAAGACGAATGGAAGATTCAGTTGCTCCTCCAATACCTCTAATCGTAGATCCAAATTCTGAAACGATGCATCTCCACCCCACAAAGATACCTGAAAGAAATATTTCTTTCTCTAAAATATCTCAAAGAATTATTTTGTTTTAAAAATCATATCATTAAGTATGCTTGGATAATATATTATTTATTTATTTGATACTTTGAAACAAGCAATCGTAGCTTTATGTTTGGAAACAACACAATTATTTTATTTTTATAATTTTTAATTTTATTTATATAATTAGTTACATTTATTTATCCTTACATCACTTTCTCTTATTCTAAATCATTGAATAAAAGAAAATATGAATTTTTAACAAATACAATTTCCAATAAAATTAATACAGCAACATTTTCCAATGTATATATATGTATGTATATATATTTTACCTGTGACTGTTCCGGCTTAAAATTTTTTACATATTTTTCTACATAACTGAGAATTACTGGTGTTATGTAGGACTCCAATTTAAACATTGTGCTTGGTAGAGAATATGTAGCATATTTTTATAATTCCCTTAATTAAAGATGTCACTAATTGTCTTATCAAAAACTCCTTCTTTGCTTTCTCATAATAATGACATATTATATGATTTATACCATTTCTCTGTGTTCAATAAAGTATCAGGTAACAATTTGGAATAAATATTATATATCTTGATATGAACATGTAGATTTGTCTGAAAATTATAATATAAACTCTGTATAGTTATACAGATCATTGTATGTAAACTGTATATAGTTATATACACTATTGTATATTAAATTACATTTAAAAAATGATATTGTTCATATCATTATATAACGTACAAATTAAATAAAGTAAAACTCAAAAAAAATTTTACATATTTAGAAAAATTATGTCCAACGAAAAATAGACATATAGAAAGAGAGATGTAAAAAAAAAAAGATTGAGTAACTGCGTTATTTTTAGTGTAATAGATCAACGAGGAACAATTTTAGAAACATTATAAACAACAATTATAGAAACATCAATCGTACGAGAGATATGAAATTGTTGAAAAATTCTATTGACATAAAATTGAGAAAATTATATCACCAATGTTATAGTTTACTCGTACGGTAATCACACGCGGAGGAATTGGGTTAAATGGAATCATCGTGAAGCTTAAAAGAAAACAAATTTATTCGTAATCGAGGCACTCTCAATAAAAGGAGATATCTCGTTTACAATACGCCCAGGACGCAGTTACAAAATATCAGATTGTGATGTGTACAGGAGATCACACAGCTGATTCGCACCTGCCAAACAACGAGCGACTCCAGCAAAGACACGTCACGAAACTATTACACGAGCCCGTTTTGCGCCACGAACGTAACGGGCGCTGCGACAGCATCGATTCTGTCCGCCGAACGTAAACTTTCGAAATTTGAAATTATTTAGCCTTCCAGTCGTGGAACTATCTTGCGATCCGTTCACGTACGACTGCATATGACTTCTGCTAACCTCAATATACCGTTTGTGTCCCAGGTAGACACAGGCCGCTTCGGCATTGAAGTTGCATCAATGACCAATTGTAGATATACGGAGTGTGCGCGTTATGTAAATATTTATGTATCATGACTGTGCACCATGTTGACATAATTGTTTATATTGAACATAGATAACGAAATAGAATTTATAATAAGTATAGTTTTCAAAATTGTAATGCTTGGAATTTTTTTGTTTTTTTGTTTTTGCACACCGGATGTGTTATCTGATTATTATTTTCTCTTCATATTTTTCTAATGTGAATTTTCTGATTTGAATTTTCAAAACTTTGCATTTCAAACGTGGTTAGATTTAAAATTTTTGGAATTTGGAGAAATAATATCTTTTAATTGATTATATATATATTTTTATATTACTATTCCTGGAAGTTTAAATTTTAGCAATTAACAGAATGTTACATCGTTACAAATGATTGAAAAATTTTTAATATAATCGGTAAACTCGGTAATTATAACGATATCGATAATTATAGATAAGATAATCAATTACCTTACCGACATTTTATTTGATAAAAAACTCAAATTATAAAAAATCGATTTATATAGAAAAGATATAAAGATGATGTAGCACACACATGCGCGCGCGCATATTTCTTTTTTTTGTATAATTTTATTTATGTATAATCCTTTTATATATTTTTATTTATGTAAAATTTTCTTAATAATTTTATTTTGATACAATTATTAAAATTATTAT